CCCGTCGTCAGCGCTCCGGAACCAATCGCCTCTACTGCCTCACTCTCAGCGCCGCGCCCTGCTCCGACCCGTCCAGCAGATGCTGCAACCAGAACCTCAGCAAGATTGAGTGGTGGACCAAGGACTCTTGCCGCGGCAGCGTGCGTGCAGCCTATCTGGACGGCGTCAAAGTTGACAGGCAATGGGCCAAGAAAACCTTCAAGCTGCCGCAGCTCAATATTGCGCAGGCCTCCATCCCACCCGAGGGCCTGGAGCTGTGCATTGAGCTGATCTCTACGGCTTCATGCTCCACACTCTCCACCTTCTGCTTTCGCGGCGATAAGGGGATGTGCACCTACTCCATGTTCAACAGCGACAAAAAATGCTGCCCTATCAACACCTACGCGGCGCTCCCCAGCCGGCGGCTGCTCTAATAAGGCTGAAGACAGTATAGCGCTGCTGCAGCTGCTGCCGCTGCCGAAGCTACGGCCATTGTTTCTAGCTGGTAGCTGACAAAGCGTACCTCGCTAACCGATACGCAGCAGCTGTATGTGTTCCTCTTCTCCGTTTTTCCTCAGCATCTGCTTCCCGCTGACCCTCGTCGTGCCTCCATTCGTTGCCCTTCTCCTCCTCCTCCGTACACATCTGCCGCCGCCCCCTTCTCGCCAGCCCATCGCATCTGCACGTCCGCCGCGCCGTACCCTGTTGTGCTGTGTTTTGCCGCGAGCCGCCGTATTGTGCTCTGCGCTGTGCTCCGCTCGCCCAGCCGAGAGACAATTGCGGCTGTGCCAGCGGCGGACCGTACCGTAAATGGTTGCGGTGGCAGCTGGCCGCAGCCGCACCTGTATGTGTGCGTGTATTTGCTTGTACGTCCATTCATTATGCGCATGAGTGTACGCTTGTATGCGTGAGTTGTAGACCGCGCCGCGCGAACGAGCAAGCGAGGGCACACTGCGCCAGGCAGCTATTAGTTGAAGATGAGCAATTTTTAAAATTAGTTGTAGCAACGGATTTGGTGATTAGGGGGGTGTACATACTCTAAATTTTGTTGGTTGTGGGCGCATACGAGTTCACGGGGGTGAGGACGGGAGAGAGATCGATGGTGAGGGCTCCGGCGTCTTTCTTCCCCGCACTCCCCCTCTTCCGCACTCCCCCTCTTCCCACGGACACCTCGCCGTGCTGCATTGGCGCCTGAGCCCGGAGTTCGTTGTTTCGGTTAATGTAGATAGCTTTTTGGCCGAGCAAGTTGATAGCGAGTTGATACCAGCTCTTACCGCCGCACCCTTAGGCATCCATCCCGTTACCATGACATCCACGCATCCTTGTGGTGTGTGTTTCAGCAGAGGCCTTGGCTGCCCTGTTGCACCCCGCAACGCGCATGGGTCCTAAAGTCCACGTGCGATGACAAGGAATGCAGGACGCCATGGACGGCCACGTGTCAGCCATACGCACGTGTTTTGTTCGGTGCTACAGTCGTATGACGCGACACCCGTATTAACACAAGCACGCGAAGGCTTTAACTCAGGGGACGGCAATGACTGCACCGACTTCCTGAGAGCCAAGCGACCGCAGCCAGGGATGCGTGCGCCATTCGGGGCGGTGTGTCCGGGGTGGTAGGGGCCGCCATTCCGTGTGTGTTGGGGGGATAGGGGGGAGTCGCCAGCTGGCACTAGGATGCGTGTTCCTGTCATCATGTTTGTATGATGTTATGTGGCCTCTGCAAGCTTCTACAAGCATATGACCCATCAGATAACAGATAGTCATTATTCATCATTTTTTGTGGTTGGAGTTATGGATGCTTTATTTATTGGCTGCTGTGTATATTCGCCGAATTCCGGTTGGGAGAAGCAACTTTGGTGGGCAGCAGCAGTGTGCGTGCGTGAAGCCTGCAAGGAATAAAGTTGTCATGCATGCATGCACGCACGAACGCTCCGCGCGCGTGTGTGTATGTGTGTATGTGTGTATGTGTGTGTGTGTGTTTGTGTGCGTTTTTGTTTGTGTGTGTGTGTGTTTGTGTGTGCGCCTGTGCCTTGTTGTCATCACTCGCGCACTTTTACCTCGAGACAAATCCCGTCGTGAAATTTTAACGGAATGCTCGTATATACTTCAGTCCCTGTTATGTTTCTGAATCAATGGACGTGTACGTTTAAGTACGACACCTGTACGTTCCACGCCTCCTACCCCAATACGGGAATACGAAACCTGCCATCGTAACAACGGAAGCAGCCCTATACATTGGAACAAACCGCATCATCAACATAACGCCCAACCGGAATAGGCCGCGTAAAAAAAAACAGAAACCCTCTCTCTCTCCAGGATTAATAAGTGCGGTGGATACACTACCGCATTAAGGGTACAATAGTCCAAGGCAGAATTATTGGAAGGCTCCGTGCTTGGAAATAGCAACTAGGCTAGGTGTTTGGGAACATGACGTGACGCTAGATAACCTGCCATCAGATATTGTTGTCGGAATAAATAAGGGGATAGAAGAAGTGATAAGTTATCCATCATAGGTTGATGCGGCTTGAAGGCTTGCGGCCCCCCACGAAACGAAATAATATGCGGCCCCCTGAGGGGAAAGAGTGTACTAGATGTCGTACAGTACGACACGTGCACCATCAATACACAGGCATCAAAATGCTTTGTGCGTGCCGAAGCATCTCAAGGGGCAGGTCTGCACACATATACGTACATACGTACACATGCCGGCCCATACGTCCGGCCCATACATACGTCCGGCCCATACCGAACAAACGCACGCGTACACCTGCTTGCATCATAGTACTTCTGTGTAAGCGATAGGTACTTCGTCACCACCTCGCGCATGCAATAACATATAAGATTTAAACATGCTCATGCACACGATTAATTTGCGATTTCCTGCGTGTTCCTACCCCCCCACACCACCAACGTAATCAGCCAGATGGTAGGTCACCCTGCTCGACCTACCAGTTAATGACTTCGCATGGTTTCGTTGGTAAAACTTGCCTCGCAGCTCGTCATCGCTCGCATTATTCACCGCAATAGCCAGCCGATTAGCACAGAAGAAGGGGCTATCACCATCAATTTTTTCTAGAACCGGAAAGATTCAATGACCGTCTCCTTCACATCTTCCATTCTCTCCCCTTGGAGGAAACCCTAAGTTGTCCCGACCCCATTATGGGTCACAGCTTGCACCAGGGTCAACGTGTAAAACCGCTGTGACGACGGCGACGCCGGGGCAGGTATCCTCCCTCCGGTTTACTTATTTTCTTGCTCGGCAGCTAGACAAATCAATATTGGCCTATGGTGGCAGCTCCCACAGACCCCATCATTCGTGGCAAAGCAGGAGACGCTGCAGCGTTTGTTAGGGATTGGGGGATTTTCACTCTGCAAATCTGGTGAGGCCAGCGGTGGCGGCGGCGCCCCGCCACTGCAACACTGCCATCATCATACCAACCATTCGGACATCCTGGCTGTGTCTTCTAGCTGCTTCTGCTTCTGCTGCAGCTGCAGCTGCTCCTGTACGTTCGCGACTTCGCTCCTTCCGAGATACGCTATGTCCTGGTCCCACAGCAGCTGCACTGGCCCTCCTGCATCGTCTTGCAATTGCCGCCGCCGCTGCTGCTGCTGCTGTTGTTGCTGCTGCTGCGTAGGGTTGCGGATATCCGGACTGACTAGTCCCTGAGTCCGCTTCATTGGTGTTGGTGTTGGTGTTGGTAATAATACTGCCACTGGCATCTGTGATGACGTTAGTGGCGGAGATGGCATCCCTTGCGGCAATGTCCAATTTTCGTACACGCTCTCGAGCTCCGTGCCCTGAATCAGAAGTGGCACATCGGAGAAGTACGACGAGCGCAGAATCTCGTCCATCGTACGGCGGTCATTGGGGTCCAGGCGCAGGCAGGACTCCAAGAGGGAGAGCAACTGGGGGCTGACGGGGCGGGAAACGTCGGCGTTGCGTGAAAGGCTGGCGCGCAGGTAGCCGTACGGGTCGTACGGCGGCAGCCTGCGTGTCAATGCATGGACCACGGGACACATGTCGCTTATGTCGCGAAACGCTTATTGAGATGTGTAGAGCCAGGATACATACCGGATACCCCGCCTTCCATGCCTCCCACACACCCACTCAAGCCGGCCCCCCTGTCACCCACGCACCCGCAGAACTTCATGATCCGTATCATCTGGTCCGCATCTGAGCTGCCGGGGAGCAGGGGCCGACCCGAGGCCAGCTCGGCAACTGTGCAGCCAAAGGACCAAACGTCTGCAGGAGGGGCGCATGCAACAGAAAATGATAAGCAAGGAAGAGCGGCAGGGAGGGAGAGCGACAAGGATTACTCCTCCTGCTCCTCCTCCTGACATAAACGCGTGCATCAGCGTGCATTGACGTACATATACCAGCAGGCTTCATGCTCGTCTACTTGTTTCTGTATCGGTGCACCTCTCCCTAGTATATTTTAGGTTGTGTTGTTGGCTCCTGGCTGCAGACAGGGGTTACGGTTGGATACCCCGAGAATTCAACCACTCGTGCTCTGACTTGAGGCCGTCGAGCAGGCGCGGCAGGCGCTTTATTCTGGAACACCCAGAACATGAATAGTGCAGGATTGCTAAGGGCTAACTGTTGCTAAGGGCCAACATAACAGTGCCGATACCTGTGACCTGACAACTGACACTTGCGGCTTCGGCTTGTTTATCATTATCAGCATCATCAGCAACATCAGCATCAGCAGCAGCAGTAGCAGCAGCAGCAGGCGACGACGATCTTACGCCGTCGTGTCTTTCGCTAATTGCGTCATGGAATATCTTCCTTTGCTTGTTTAGATCTTGGGATACCGGCCCGTAAAAGCATAATGCCACGTGATATACGTGTACGTACTACACACATGAACACATGTGTGCACATATACACACATACAAACAAACAGGTGGTGTGCAGGCGCGCACAATTCTGTACCTGCTGCGTATCCGTACAAGGTGCTGGTAATCACTTCCGGGGGGCGATACCAGCGGGTGGTCACAAAGGGTATCTGCCCGCGGTTGGGACTTTGGCAACCGTTCACAGACCTGATGGAAGGCGGGCATTAGAAACAAGTGGAGAACTAGGCTGAACAGGATTGATTATGTATAGGGTTGGCACGGGTACTATACTAGAAAAGAGTACTATACTATAATAGTACTATGCATAGTACTATTTACTATGCAGGGCTCTAAACTGGTACTAGTTTACGACGCTCGTACCGCGTTCGTACATAGTAAAATAGTATAGTAAAAATAGTACTAGATAGTACTAGATTTGGGTTTGGATAGTGTCCAGTACTAGTTGGACCAAGTCGAGATCTGCAGTCAAGCTGTATTTTGAAGGGCTATAGCCGCGTCTTCGAGCTGTGCTACGTAGTTATTGATGAATAATGTCAAAGGAATCCAGTATAAAGAATGGCAAGGCGATCAGAGGCTTGCATCCTGGTCCAGACGTCCCCCCTGAAGTTCTCCGTTCTCGGAACGAGCTTTTTAACAAGCTACGTAACCAGAAGAAGAACGCCAAGACGGGTAGTCTTTGGGACAACTTCGATGTGGAGTGGTGGGGTGGTCTACCAAAGCTAGTCTGCCTGTTCTGCAATGAGCCGCTCAGCGCCGTGAACCCATCCTTTACCAACGCGCACCACATCAAGCAAGGTGCTTGCAAGGCTATCAAACAGCGTGCAGCGTCACTCAGCCAGCAACAGCAACAGAGTGGAACCAGCTCTGCTGCGGCGGGCCCCAGCACGGCGGATCAGCAGGCCCTCTCCAAGCGCCGGCGCGGCATTGATGGCCAGACCCTCCTCCCAGTGATTCCCGCGACTCTCGTTGTAGTGCAGGAACTTCACTAGTATGGCGTCCGTGTGTTGTCTTGTCAACACTGGGTCTTCTATCTGTGATTATGTCTTTATGTGCCATAACACGCCTTGAGACATGGGGTTTGGGGTCCACCTACCGGGCACTGAACTAACAAAAAGTGATCTGGATGACCACAGCGATCTGCTTTCTCATGTCTAAGTAGATATTTAGAAAGAACAAAAGAAGACCTTTCCAACGGTGTAATTTTCAGGTACAACGGTTGGTCGTACACCCCCCTTCTACAGGGAGCGTGTACTTGCCTAGTACCACGGTCATGCTATTTCGATGTGGCTATACGAGACCGCATGGTCAAGCTCCAAATCTTTTTCATGAAACAATTGGTAGGGACTTCTGTACCACCCCTCCAGCTTCTGTTTATGGAGCTAGGTCAGATGCCGCTACAGCTGCACTGGGCTGAATCCGTATTTCGCTTCTGGAATAGTTTGGTGGAGGACACTAGTAGCGTATACCACAGCGCCTTTCGTCAGGAAATTCGTTTGGCGTTAGTAACGAATTTACAGTTTGATGGTTGGGGATCCAAAGTCATTCGTATCCTTAACCACTTAGAGCATGACTGGGGTGAGGAGGCAGTCGGGGGAGGCATTGATGTGAGGGTTAGACGTTACTCGGCTTGCAAGCTTGATGTCGAAGCGCTGATGGACACCCTTAGGACACGTGTCAACGACGACTGGGCAAATGATAGGCTAGCTGTGGACCCTAGAGTTTTCGTTACGGACGGTAGGAAGCCCGGCGTGAAGATGGGCCGCCATAAGCACTGGATGGGGCCACCGAAGCCGTACGCGGGTTATATCCCCCCGGCGCATCATCGTGCCCTAATCCGCTTTCGTTTGTGTGTCTCTGACCTGGCGGTTAACAGTGAGAGCAACAGGGCTAGGGAGCACCGCGTGTGCGCTGTGTGTCGTAGTAATGGTGCTATTGAGGATGAGAAACACTTCTTGGTAGAATGTCCGGCGATTATGTCTGCGCGTCAGAAGCTCTGGGACCTCGGTGTGCCCGTCAATGCGAACATCCGTGATATCATGCAAGTGGATGATCAGCGTGGTCTTGCAAAGGCTATTTTTGAGATGTTTCGCTCCCGGCATGAGCACCTAACTACCTAACTTTCTCGGCGGTAACAGGCAATTGTGTTTCAGAGTCAAATTGACGCTGTTCTTTCCCATAAACACCCGTTTTCTCCTTGCGAAAAACTTTCCTTTTTTTGTTTGTTTGTTGTGTTTAAGCAGCCCCTCGCAGAAATGTGTCCGGTCGTACTTCGCGAATAAAGTGTTCGTACATCGTCCCAAAAAAGCCAGGAGCGAATTTTGCCGCGCAGATGCGCGCGTGCGATTCACAAAATGCGCCTGTACAAGTGTATATAAATTTCTTGAAGGTGCGCCAGCGCATTGCGCAGGTGGTCTTGTTGGCCATAGTCGCACCCGGCATGCAGGCTGGACTATTGCGTGGCTGCTTTGCAGTATCTGAAAGCACCGAAAGCCTACGTCGTAGCTTGCAACACTGGGCTCGTGAAACTGCCGCGGAAGATGAAGCGGTCGGCGAAGAATCAGCCATAAGGCGCCTGCTTTCGGTAGCGCAGCGCATAATGCACATTGTTCCCACTAAACTCAAGTTACACTCTTACGAAATAAATAATAACAACGCAGAATTAGGTAAAGAGAAGAATCGCGAAAGTCGTTCAGAACCTTGCAAGTAAAATGGATGCCGCTGAGGGCTTGGAACAGCTTTTCGCAGCGCATTCGGCCGTGCCTGCGTTAGCCGTGTTGCAGCAACTACGGAAGGACTTGAGCCAGCAGCAAGCTCAAATTCTGTTTAAGAACCACCGGCATTGTCTTCAGATGGGAACATGTAGTTTTGGTCGGCGCGGGCGAGCAGCGTACGCATTGCGCACAGGTACCGAGGTGCAGCGTCTCAGGATGGATTTCAGCCAACAAAGCCTCAAGAGCTGCTGCACAACCACCGGTGTGTCTTCAGTTGGGCACGTGTAGTTTTGGTCGGCGGGGTCGAGCATCGTATGCATTGCGCACAGAAACCAAGGTGCAGCGCCTCTGTAACATCGCCAACATATCCGGTACGCGGTGGCAGGCTTGCCGAGCACGAAATGAAGGGGGGTCGCATCTCACCATTCAACTAAGCATGCATGTGCTCGGTTGAATGCTCGGTAGCATGCGAGTTTACCTATCAGGATGTTTTGTTGCATATATCCCTCCAAGCGAGAGGGCTTGGACCTATGCTGATGTTCGTTACAAGAAGTGAACTGAGGACTGATGCTACACGTCATGTATACGCGTTGCTTAGCTTGCAACGAGACGCGCCCACGATGAAAGCTTCAGCTACACTCACAATACATTATACTGCTACACTATTCTCTCCAGTCCTACCACATTGTATTTCACCGACGTACTTCTGCACCTTCCACATCACCATACAGCAATATAGCAATATAGCAATATAGCAACCATATAGCCACAATCACAACTTGCAGACTCAACATCATAACAATGACCGAACCGGGTTAACCCGGTCGGTCTATTTACCTTCAATAACTTTTCTGAGAACAAAGACATCAAAATGGCTCGCAACAGTTCAACGGATCAGGCCGCCGGTGTGACGGCGGAACGATCTGAAGCAACCATATCAATTTCCCTTCTTAGGGAAATTACGAAGATGGAGCAACCTTTTGGCAAACTTCGATCGCTGGCAATGAGAGCAATCTTTCAAGGAAACTACCTAGAGAACAGAAAGCAGGTAATAGACATTATGGCAGGACCGATTGGACACCGAATAGTGCAGACAGTACAACAGGAGCTAAAAGCTCCTTATGTTTTCGTCGGAGAACCGGTCGCTTGGGAAGCTCGCAACGACGAAGGAGTCGTTGGACAGATCAACGTCTACGTACCGGAGGAGTGGATACGCCCGTAAAAAACTTAGCGGACCATTGCGGACGAATCAATCTAGCAGATCTCCATCTAGGAGATTACCACATTCAAGATCTTGTAGTAGACA